GAGGATCCCAAACTCATTTGGCCCTCTGCTCCCCCCCCCCTTCAGAAAAGATCTCCCTTCTTTAAACAAAGGGGTCCCTGGGACTTTAACTCTGTGTGACATCGCTCAGCCTCATTGCACAACAGAGGAAACATCTGCAAATGGTTTTCCAAAGCTGGACGAGGAGGTGGACTAGCCCCCCCCCAAGAAAACCCCACAGGGAGGGAGGAAGAAAAGTGGGAGAGAAAGGGCAGGAATAAAGAGAGGGATCCCAGCCCAGAGTCTGGCTGCTGCATTGGGGACCAGTCATCTCCCAGTGTCTCCCAGGGCAGCTCCCCACGGAGGCCACTGCAGCCATCCCCTCGCACCCAGAGCAGGGCATCCCAGGACCACATCCTCTCTCTCCCAAAGGGATTGTTGCTGGAAATGGGCGCTGCTACTCACCGGGCCTCCAGGGACCTTGGCATCAATGGCTGTGTGTGTGTTAAGCTATCTAACAGAATAATGATACTAAATTACCCTCCTAAATTTCAAAGGAGATGTCTTTGGCCCCGCCCACTTGGCCCTCAGGGGGTTGGCCAGAAACATATCTGGCCCTCAGAGCAAAGAAAAAGGGACCCCACCCCAGGAGTCTGCCTTGAGAATGGCAGAGAGTCCAAGTGCAAGAAAAGGAGACGGAAGCAGGGGACTGGGGGTGGGGGGAGAGCAACTCGTGAGGACCCCCGGGTGAGGACCCCCTAGAGCCAAACATCCATTATTCAAAAGATACAAATGACTTCCTTGTCAGTCAGGTCTGACTTCATGCATTGACTGGAAGGCAGGAGCAACCAGGCTGATTCATCTCCCAGAAATCCCTTCAGTTGCCTCCACATTTTGCATTGCAATCTTTCTTCTAGGAGAGCTAGAGGCTGCTTCTTCCTCCTCCTCCTCTTTCTTCCTCCTCTTTCTCCTCCTCTTCCTCCTCCTCCTCTTTCTTCTCCTTTTTAAAAAGGCCCTTTCCACCTGGCCTAGGGGGTGAGGCCCAGACTCACCCAGCCCTACTGTGATAAATATGTATTCTGTAGTTAACCCATAGCTGTCAAGTGTCCCTTATTTGAAGGGACAGTCCCTTATTGAAGGGACAGTCCCTTATTTGAAGGGACAGTCCCTTATTCCAGCGCCATGTCCCACTGCTGTCCCTTATTGATAGATGTCCCTTAAATGTCCATTAAATGATGTCCCTTAAATTTCAAAGGAAGCAGCTCCTCTCCCTCCCTCCCTGCCGGCCAGGGAGGAGGGAGCCTCCAACTGTGTTGCTTGGCTGTCTTGCTCACCCAATAAGAAGTCTAAGATCGACTGCGGGGTGGAGCTTGCATGCCTTGTGTGTGGCTAGTTAATGCAAGCTGAGGGGGGTTTTGAATGTTGGACGCCATTTTGTTGCACATGCTGCTGCAAACTTTGCAGTGCAAAGCCAGGCCGGGGAGCCATCTTAAGTTGAAGCTGCATAGGCCTTGTGGTGCATGTGATTCAGATTCTATTCAGTTGAACCTCTGGTTACAAAGTTGGTTGGACAGTGTTCTCGAAGCTTCCAAAAATGAAGGGGAAATGTGTGTGCGTCCTATGGAGCGAATGCAGGCTCCTTGGCTTCGCGGCGACGTGCCTGTCCTGGAAGCCGGAGGAGGAACAGAAGGGTCTCCTTCTGTTCCTTCTCCAGCTTCGCTGAAGGGCGCTGCGCCTTCTCCCTCTCTGCGCAGCACCTTTCCTGTGAAGGAGAGGCGCTACACAGAGAGAGAGAGAGAAGTCGCAGTGCCCCTTCAGCGACGCGTCTGTCCTGGCTTCTGCTTTAGCCCTTAGCAGCCTCTTTGGGCAGGGGGAGCCTTCATCCCGCTGCCCTGAAGAGGCTTGGCGCGGTTACCCCGGAAGCCAGAACAGCCACACGGTATCCCAGAAGCCAGATCCCTCTTGCTGTTCTGGCTTCTGGGGTTCAGAATAATTTTTTCTTGTTTTCCGCCTCCCAAAACTAGGTGCGCCCTATGGTGCGAAAAATACGGTAGTTCTAGTTGTTTTGTAACCTAAGCCTGCCTTCAGGGATATGTCTGTGAACGTGAATGAATCTGTGAGTAAACTACTTTTATATTAACGTGAATAAGATTATTAATATAATAATAATAATAATAATAATAATAATAATAATAATAATAATAATAATAAAATTATTTATACCCCGCCCTCCCCAGCCAAGGCCGGGCTCAGAGCGGCTTACAAGCAATAATAAAAACAAGTTGAATGATTACAGCTTAAAAACAACATTAAAATACAACATTAAAATATTGAAACATTAAAATACTAAAATGAAGCCTCATCGCAGGAGGAGAAGAAAAAGAAAAAAGAAAGAGAGGGAGGGAGGGAATCAAATTGGCTCTAAGCCAAAGGCCAGGCGGAACAACTCTGTCTTCCAGGCCCTGCGGAAAGAAATCAGATCCTGCAGGGCCCTGGTCTCATGAGGCAGAGCGTTCCACCAGGCTGGAGCCAGAGTTGAAAAGGCCCTGGCTCTGGTTGAAGCCAATCTAACTTCCTTAGGGCCCGGGACCACTAGGGTGTTGCTTATTCACATTATTGTGCTTATTAATTTAAGAGGGATTGGAAGGGATTTTACCAGGAAGGAATTTTTAATACCAAGACTCAGATGAGTCAGCAATAAGCTGATCGCTGCGTAATCTAACAAAGGGTGATGTATGGAACTCTGCTAGAATATGGAACTTGCTAGCGCAAGTGAGGGAAGATATCATTAAATAATATATCCTCTGCTTCTCCCTAATCATCCCCATAGATTTAATATGTTGTAAACCTCTTTGAGAATTTCTTTAAAATATAAAGCCTTATAGAAATTAAAATAAATAAATAAGATAGTTCATGGTATGGGCTGTGGTGCAGTCCAGACCTGGTTCCTTCCAAGACTCATCCATGCTTGCTCTGGGATCCTTTTTCTTCTCCTGATATTAGACAACTTTTGTAACTGAACAATGTATTTGCTTTGTAGGATTTGCTAGCGCCTCTCCTTAAGACAGACAGAACTTGGCAGAAGACCAAAGGGTTCCTTCCGATCTCTCAGAGGCTTCCTGAGAGCACAGATGGGTGAGCGAGACACAGCTGGCCCTGAAGCAGGCAGAGGCCATGACATCCAAACTGGGAGCAGTGGGGGATTCTGGGAAAACTCTGTGCAGAAGATCCTGGGTGAGGAGGAAACCCTCTGCTCAGAGGTGCAGAGCCAGCAGTTGAGGCAGCTCTGCTGCCAGGAGGCCAAAGGACCCCGAGAGGTTTGCAGCCGACTCTACCACCTTGACCATCAGTGGCTGAAGCCAGAAAGGCACACGAAAGCTGAGATGCTGGACCTGGTGATCTTGGAGCAGTTCCTGGCTGTCCTTCCACTGGAGATGGAGAGCTGGGTGAGGGAATGCGGAGCGGAGAACAGTTCCCAGGCGGTGGCCCTGGCTGAAGGTTTCCTCCTGAGTCGGGCAGAGGAGAGAAAGCAGGTGAGAGAGACTTTCCTCTGGATACTCCCAAGGCCTCCAAACAGGATGGAGAACATCCCATCATGCTCTTCTGATGGCTCATTTTTTTTTCCTGGGAAGGCATCCATGGAATGAGATCTGTCACCCTTGAAGCAGTTGGCCCTGACATTCATTTTTTAATCCTTCTCCCCATTCTCTCATTTGAATCCTTGTTTCTTTTTCAGGGAAATGATCTCTTTGCAGAAATGGGCCAGATTTCTTCTGAGGCAGAGAGGCCTCCGCTGGACACCAGAGAGAGGCCACTGGGTAAGGAGGGAGGAGGTTTTTCTCTGTTTAGTCTCATTCTGTTCGTTTTCCAACTCATCTGTGGGTTCTTTTCATCTTTTGATGGGGGAGATAGTTGGGGCTAAGAGCCCAGAGGTGGGGAGATATATTTCTGCACAACTAACATCTGAAATGCACCCAAATATCCAAATGCACTCAGCGGGCAAGACTTTCTCAAAGGCCCCTCTGTAGTTTAGATGCACTGATTTACCTGTGAGACAAGAAGGCACTCTGGGCATCCCCTTTACCTTATTTCTCTTGCAGGTGACACAGTGATACTGGCTAGACCTCTTCATCCATCTCTGAATGGGGACAGAATGGAAGCAGCGGCTGTGGAACCAGATCAGGTCAGGGGAAGCTGCCTTGTGGGAACAGAGGCCAAGGGGTGGAAGAATGTCCTAGCTCAAGGAGTGGTGGTGAACAACAGTGTTGTCTCAGAGGAAGACATTTCCCTTTTTCCTTTAGGGTCCAGTGTGCTTTGACGACGTTGCTGTTTGTTTCACGGATGAGGAATGGGAGTTGCTGGATCCTGACCAGAGAGCTCTGCATAAGGACATCATGGAGGAGAATCGTGGGATTGTGGCCTCTCTCGGTAAGGCTCCCAGTGGGATCATAATATCTGTTTTCAAATTCAAAACACCATATGTGACTAACCTCATATATTTTCACAGAACTCAACAGTGCCCCCTACAACACAATACTATCACAATACTCCCCAAAAAACCTTGAACAGTAAATTACTGGTTTTTTTCTGTGAATTTTATTCTTCCAGTTGCAGCTTATTAAACAAGGATCAGCCGGTCTGAACTCCCCAGGCCATTTTATCTGTAAACTTCAGAGTTGTTAGGGAAGTTGCAGTAGCTTCTGTCAGGTTTTCAGTTTGTGTTTTTCCTCCCGTCAGTCTTTGTTTGTCCAAAGAGAAGACTGACATTGGAAATGGAGGGATGCCATTATGGAGCACCCAACCCTTCAGAAAACCATCCATCTAACCCACTTGTGTTATTTCTCTATTACCAGAGTAAACAAGTATTCTTCCTTAATTTCTCCCTGAGGCTCTAATCCATTACTCTTCATTGCAGATAGTGATGGACTGGAAATCAAGGACAAGGGTGACCATGACAAAATCCCCACAATGGAGAAGCTGTATAAATATCTTGAAAGTAGAAAAAGTTCCAATTCCACTTCCCATCAAGGAAATCTCATTAGGAAGAAACCCTATCAGTGTGTGGAATGTGGAAAGAGCTTTAGTCAGAGCTCCCATCTCACTTCCCATCAGAGAATTCATACAGGGGAGAAACCCTATCAGTGCTTTGAATGTGGAAAGAGCTTCACTCACAGCCACCATCTCACTTCCCATCAGAGAATTCATACAGGGGAGAAACCCTATCAGTGTATGGAATGTGGAAAGAGCTTCAGTACAAGCTCCTCTCTCACTTCCCATCAAAGAATTCATACAGGGGAGAAACCCCATCAGTGCATGGAATGTGGAAAGAGCTTCAATCACACCCACAGTCTCACTAAGCATCAGAGAATTCATACAAGGGAGAAACCCTATCAGTGTGGGGAATGTGGAAAGAGCTTCAGTCAGAGCTCCTCTCTCACTTCCCATCAAAGAATTCATACAGGGGAGAAACCCTATCAGTGCATGGAATGTAGAAAGAGCTTCACTCACAACCACAGTCTCACTTTCCATCAGAGAATTCATACAGGGGAGAAACCATATCAGTGCTTAGAATGTGGAAAGAATTTTAGTCAGAGCACCGGTCTCACTTCCCATCAAAGAATTCATACAGGGGAGAAACCATATCAGTGCTTAGAATGTGGAAAGAACTTCAGTCAGAGCACCGGTCTCACTTTCCATCAGAGAATTCATACAGGGGAGAACCCATATAATTGCTTGGAATGTGGAAAGAGCTTCATTCACAGGGCTCATCTCACTTCCCATCAGAGAATTCATACAGGGGAGAAACCCTATCAGTGCTTCGAATGTGGAAAGAGCTTCACTCACAGCCACCATCTCACTTCCCATCAGAGGATTCATACAGGGGAGAAACCCTATCAGTGTGTGGAATGTGGAAAGAGCTTCAGGAAGAGCTCCGATCTCACTAGGCATCAGAGAATTCATACAGGGGAGAAACCCTATCAGTGTGTGGAATGTGGAAAGAGCTTCAGTCAGAGCGCCAGTCTCACTTCCCATCAAAGAATTCATACAGGGCAGAAACCCTATCATTGTGTGGAATGTGGAAAAAGCTTCAGTCAGAGCTCCATTCTCACTTCCCATCAAAGAATTCATACAGGTGAGAAACCCTATCAGTGTGTGGAATGTGGAAAGAGCTTCAGTACGAGCTCTGATCTCACTAAGCATCAGAGAATTCATACAAGGGAGAAACCCTATCAGTGTGTGGAATGTGGAAAAAGCTTCAGGAAAAGCTCCAATCTCACTTTCCATCAAAGAATTCATACAAAAGAGTGGAAAACCCTTTGTTATACAGCTTTCAGCACTAGAGAAAAACACACCACTTTAAACAAGCCTTTGGCTAATTGACATCTAATGCCCTTTTAAAATGTGGTGGGGAGGTGGGGGTTACAGGTTTTGGGGGCAGTGTGTTTTGTGTTTTCATTGTGTGATTTTATGTTGTAACCATCCTGTGACCTGTGGGTGTAGGGCATGGGAGCCAACTCTTAGAGTCTGAGGGCTCTTTGCCCCCCAATAAGATATGTGAGGGGGCCACCCCCCCAGTTCATAGGAATAGCCATTAAAATGGCATGCTTGCACCGCATCCTGTGACTGTTTAACCGAGGTGGGGCTTAATAAACCCCTCCTATATTTTATTCAAGTTGGCACCCCTGCTATAGGGCGCTATAGAAGTCAAATAAATGCATAAATAAAACAAAACCATCTTGGTCGCCTTCTTTTGCACATGTTCCAGCTTCTCAATATCCTTCTTAATATTATCATTTTAAAAAATTATGTGCCCATCATCTGAAGATTTCATGGTGATTCACAACATAAACAGACAGGTTGAAAGCATGGCTTTGTCAAAATCAAGTCAAGCCAGAGAAATCTCTCTTTTTTTCTTTTTCTATTGCTGTGTGGTAATAGTGCATCTTAATTTCAGTAAGGTTTTTGACAAAGTCCCCCGTGATATTTATGTGAGGAAGCTGGTAAAATGAGGCTGAATGAGGTAACTGTTAGGTGGATTTGACTGACCGAACCCAAAGAGGACTCCTTCATGGTTCCTCCTCATCCTGGGGGAAAGTGACAAGAGGGGTGCTGCAGGGTTCTGTCCTGGGCCCGTTGTTGTTCAACGTCTTTATAAATGACTTGGATGAAGGAACTGAGGGGATGCTCATCACATTTGCGGAGGACAGCAACAGGGAGCGGAGGCCAATGTGGCAGAAGGCAGAATCAGATCAAGGGCAGGAATAGTACCACTTTCTTCTGCCTTGGTCAGACCCCACCTAGAATACTGTGTTCAATTCTGGGAATCACAGTTTCAGTATCTTAAAATTTCTTTTTGCCTGGGGAAATTAAAAGGTGGGAGAGCACAGTTCACATTCTTTTTATAACATGTGGCCAATGTTTATTGAATATATAAATTGTTAAGACTGTTGCCGGAATCCACCCAGCACTCATGGGAAAATGTGGCGTGATCTCTTAGAGTAATCAAATGAAACTTGTAACACACAGCAGGAAGAAAGTCTGCAATTCCATCAGGACAAGTTATTTGTTGTTTACTGTTGTAACCATTTCTTTCTGAAAAGTTATCTTCTGCACCAAGATAAATAAAAACAATGTTTTTAAAAATGGTGGGGAAATCATGTGTACTCTTCCATTAATCTGATTACATGTGTTGCGTGTTATTTGGAGTCTGTAACTCCCAGTTATTTCACATTATCTGTGTTTTTGTGTGTTCAGCACATATGATTGCAGGTGAGACTGAATAAAAGACTTCCTAGGAAATTCCCTTTGACTGCTTCTGTATTGTTTCCAATGTGACTTCACTTAACAGATAAGGACAAATCATATTTATTGCTGACAAATCATACCCTAAAGGTTAAAGGGGCCCCTGGCTGTTGGGTCCAGTCGTGACTGACTATGGGCTTGCGGCGCTCATCTCGCTTTATTGGCTGATGGGGAAAATGGCGTATAACTGAAGCCTGGGAGAGGAGAAAGAGTAAGAAAGTAGCCGCCAAGTGGGTGTAATTCCTTGGATACAAAGTAAAACTGTCCTGAGGCAAAGTATTACTTGGAAGATAAGAGAAAGCAAAAATTGATTGGTGTAACAGCCCGGTCGGAGTGCTTTGAGCCAGCGACGGGAAAGAGCCGTTCCCCCTTTCATCATTCCTTTTGCTTGCTTGGTTATATTCACAAATGAGACTCTTCAGACTTTATTTTGGACGTGTTTAAATAACAAGAACATGGGCTGACATTGAAAAAAGTGGAGGTGCTGAATAGTGTGGCTCTGCTGAGAGTTTGGGAGGAGAATTAGAACTGTTTAAGAGGTGCTTTTTGAACTTTTTTCGGACTGCTTCAGAAGCATTGGCTGAATCTAGCAGAATTTACGCCCTCCATTTTGCCTCCCTCTACTTCCTTGGCTTTCCATATGGACTAAGAGAAAATGGATGGTGCACTTTAGATTGCTTGGATTGCTGGCTTCACAGGGAGAGTCAACGGAAGAAAGAAAAAACAATATAAGGACACAGCATTTTGGATTTACCTCTTCCCATTCTCCCTCTGTTCTACCCTCTGGTTTCTGCTTGTTTTCTTTTGTGAATCTTGGCGGATTCTCATTATTGTCTCTCACCTCCCCACCCTCGCAAACAGTGCTCCCCTTTCCTTTCCGCCTGGTGTTGTGCCGTCCTCCCCTTTTCCCTTACTCCACCGCTCCCTTACCTTTTAATTTTTTGTTTCTCTTTCTTTTTTTCTATTTTCTTTTTTACATTCTTTTTTGTTTGTTTGTTTGTTTGTTTGTTTGTTTGTTTCTATAAGAATACTGATTGTTTCTTTTGTTAGTTTAGCTTTTTTTCATTTCATTTCTTTTTTTAAGAATACTGACTGTTGGGATTATTTAATATACTCCTTTTTCTGGGGACTTGCTGGAGTAAACCCTCGGCCTGTCCATCGAATTGTGTGTAAGGAGAGATACGGGGTCGAAGAACATAGAACAAAGAATCTGAAAGTGGCCGGTGGGAAGAGATCGACCAACAGAGCGGAAGTCACGGGGAGGGAGGAGGAGGGGGTGAGAAGGGAAGTATATTGGAACTACCTAGAAATTTCTATTACTAATTCTAAGAATTCTAGGGACGGAAAGTGGAATCACATCAGCTGTTGTTAATTTTTCAATTTTGCGCCCTCTAGGGGTGGAAAGCTAAATTGCATTATCTGTTTAATTGATTTAAGTAAAAATATCAAAATGAAGAAAGGAGTGGGAACACCGGCGGAGAGAAGGTCATCCAGACAGGAAAATGGAAAGGAGGGGGAGGAGATTAAGGACTATGATACATTAATGGCTGAAATAAGGAAGGAATTTAAACATAATGAAGAGTATATTGAGAAAAAACTACTGGAAGTACAGGATACTTTGGATAAGAAATTGGAGGGGTGGTAGGAGAACTGACAGGGAGAGTAAAAGATCTAACAGTAAAATCTAAAGCTCTTGAGGGCTCAATGAAGAAAGTGCAGAAAGAATTGAAGGAGACTAAGAGGGAAACTCTTAGTTGAAGGAGACTAAGAGGGAAACTCTTCTCTTCATGAGAAGAGAAGACTCCCTGGAGAAGACACTGATGCTGGGAAAGATCACAAGGAGAAGGGGGCGACAGAGGACGAGATGGTTGGATAGTGTTTTCGAGGTTACCAGCATGAGTTTGACCAAACTGTGGGAAGTAGTGGAGGACAGAGGTGCCTGGCGTGCTCTGGTCCATGGGGTCACGAAGAGTCGGACACGACTAAACGACTAAACAACAACAACAAGAGGGAAACGGATAGGATTAGAGTAGAGGTAAAGGAGATAAATAAATCACAGGAAGAGATCCTGGATAGTATGGGGATGATGGAAATGAGAATGAAACAAGCAAATTTGAAATTTAGGGGGATCCCTGAGGAGGCAAATGAAAACATAAGAATCAAACTGATTAAGAAACTAGCGAACTGGATGGATGTGAGGGAGGAGGATATAGGATCAACCATAGCAAATGTCTTTCGAATAAAAGTAAAATCTACCAAAGCTAGAGGGGAAAAGCTCCCAGGGGACGTGTTAGTGATGTTTAACTCTTTGGATATGAGGAACGAAATATTGAGGTTAAACTACAACAAAAAACTGTGTATAGATGGGAGAGCAATTATCGTATTCAAAGAGATCCCATCGAGTTTTCTTCGAAGGAGACATTTATAAGCAGTTAGTAAACCAGCTAAAGAAAAATGGAATCCAGTACAGATGGGAATTCCCAGAAGGGGTATCATTCTATTATAAAGACAAGAGATTCAAACTATCTAGTCCTCAGGAACTGGAGAAATTTGCCAGAAGGTATGACAAAGAATTGGGAAGGACAGAGGGGAGGGGGTTGGGGGGGGACAGACAGGAGGAGACGGAGGCAAGAGGAGGGGAAGAGGAAGAAGAAAAGGATGCAGACGACGAAGAAGAAGAGTCTAGCAACAAAGATTATTAAAGCCAATTTAGGACTGACAACTAATTAACAATGGCTTTGAGAATACTGTCATGGAATGTGAATGGACTTAATAATAAAAATAAGAGAAATCAAATTGCACATGTCCTGATTAAAAAAAATCTTGACATAATATGTTTGCAAGAAACACACATTGCAAGAAAACATAAAAGAGTTCTAAGTAATAAAAGATTAGGAATGGATTTCGTTGCCTCAGATAAGAACAAAAAAAGAGTTGTAATATATATAAAAGAAAAATATGACCCAAAATTAATTTATAAAGATGAAGAGGGGAGAGTGATAATAGTATAAATCACTTTCCAAGGAGAGAAAATAAATATTGTTGGAATCTATGCTCCTAATGATAAAAAATCGATCTTTTACTCAACATTGGGAAACAAGTTGTTAGAATTAATGGATCAACATCTGATACTGATGGGGGATTTCAGCGGAGTGACTACACTGGACTTGGACAGATCAACAAGGAAAAAAGAAACGAACGAAGGCAAACTACCTAAAACTTTTTTTGAATTGGTGGATAATATGGCACTAATTGACATATGGAGATTCAAAAATCCTACAACAAAACAGTTCACCTTTTTCTCAAACCCAAACCAAAGTTGGGGAAGAATAGCTCACATCTGGATCTCGAAAGAATTAATTATGAGAGCTAATAAAGCAGAAATTCTTCCACAAACACTATCTGATCACAATTCAGTGTACATGGAGTTAAGAGGAAAAGACCCCACAACCTTCAGATGGAGAATGAATGAGAACCTGTTCAATGACCAGAAGACAATAAACAAGGCGAAAGAAACAATTGAGGAATATTTTAAATATAACTTGAATAAAGGAACACCCATAGAAATAGTCTGGGACGCAAGTAAAGTGGTTATGAGGGGTTTCTTAATTCAGAAAAACAGTCACTTAAGAAAGGGAAGAGAGAAAAAGAAAGAAGAAATCTTGATACACCTCATGGAGAGCGAGAGACAGTTAACATCTAAACCAGAAGATGAAACAATAAAACAAAACATAAAGATGCTACAGGCCCAATTTTCCATGGTAGTAAATCAAGAAGTAGAATGGAGAATTAAAATGATGATGAATTTTTTTTTTGAATCAGCTGATAAAATTGGGAAGTATTTGGCTTGGCAATTAAAGGAAAGGAAAAAACAAAATATAATAGGTAGAATAAGGGATGGAGAAAAGATAGTGGAAGACCCCAAAGAGA